ATAAAGGTCGCTCGATCAATGTTTTTGTTTTTTTACATATAAAACATAGTAAACAATGAACTCAACAAATTTTTATCCGATATGAAAAAATAGCACTTTATTTTTAATTTCTGAAACTTTTGAAACAAATAATCGATGCCTTGATATGAACCCAATAAATATGACCCATCTATTAGCATCGAATCAAACCGTGATAAATAGCTATCACATTTTTCGATCAATAAATTTTAAATATTAATATTAATATTCGCAAGAAAAATTTTTTTTTATTTCTTGCTTTAATACAATTTTGCTTAAAAATTAATTCTATTGCTGTTGCGATAAAAGGCTTGAATTCATAAGATCATTAAAAGGAGAAGCCGATGCAACCGAAGTTGAAGTTTCGGCAACCAGTTAAGTATGAAAATTGTAAGGTATTTTAGGTTGCATAAAGTGGATCGTGAAAAATAGGTGCTCGAATATTTAATTCTATGAATATTGTTACCTGTTAAGATGCTTGAGCAACATCATGATAATTATTTAATTAATTGATTAAGGTGTTTGAGAAAAGCCATAGTCGATTATGGTCATATAAGGTTCATCCAATCAAGTCAGTACTAGTATATATACATGATTCTGGGAGAGCTATTATACGCTGCAGCCAAGTTTAGCAATGATCTTAAACATAAAAAAACAGTTAAAGTATGTATGTACGTACGTATATAGACAAAATGATTGTGGCACAAGCATCTTTATATATCGATTAGAAATAAAAAGGTAGAGGATGCTTGTGTCTCTTCACACAAAATTGATTTATCATTTTGTATTACCCCGACCCAAGTTTTTCAAATTACTTTTATTTTTTCACGATAACAATTATGCGAGAATTACTCAAGTCAATTTAAAAAAATGAAATAATATCAGAACATTTCAGGATATTTCTTTGAGGAGATCTAATTGTTAAGCCACACAATGTTGATTTGCCATTTTGTATTACCCCGACCCAAATTTTTCAAAATATTTTTTTTTTTCATGATAACAATTATACGAGAATTACTCAAGTCAATTCAGAAAATGGAGTAATATCTGAATATTTCGGGATGTATCTTTGAGAATATCTGATTGGTTATATTTAAAACTATAAAGTTGTGCTTTCATTTTTACAATATTTTAAGTACTTATTGAAGAGTTATGATTTTGATTTTTTTACATGATTTGCACTATATCTAAAAACAGGGTTATGATACTATATACTTGAATCAACCTTTTTCAAATAAAAGTCAAATCTTTTTGTAATTAAAAGAAATGACTTTGTATGTATTTATGAACCATATATGTGAAAATGACCAATTAATTCTAATAAGGACTATTGATTTATATTAATAAGAAATGATCTGTCACAGGTAAATGTTCTAACGAGTTGCGGTTTTCCTCACTTGATATTAGAAACTCGTTTGATGATCCTCATTTTCGAGAAGGTTGATTATGCATGCGATCTATGAGGCTTAGGCTGTATTGCTAGAAGGTTCTAGTGATGATAACACAAACACGAACGAAGGTTTGTGAAGAAATAGAGTAAAAGAGGAAGATCTGAATTCGAAAGGAAAAGTAAGCAAATCCTTATCTGCTAAGGAGAATCCGTCAGTAAAAACCTCTTCTAAGTAAAACTTATAAAAGTGTGGTAGTTTTGCCTTTGTCAAAGTAGATAACCTATGGGTTATAGGTATATTAAATAATACAATATTGCTAAATCATCATTATCACGCCTCTACTAAATTATCTCGTTGTTAATTATTCTGTCCCGTTTAATTCACCCCGTAACGAACTTTCTTTATAAAAAAAACTCAACGCTTGAGTTCTTTTATAACATTTTATTGATCTTATAATAAATACTGTTTTTCTTAAAATCATATATAATATAATCGCCTTATAATCAATTCAAAAAAAAAAAAAAAAAAAAGCCTTCTCATGTTACGCTTCTTGTCGCTATCATTTCTGCAAAAAATAACTAATCGTTTTCATATGGCCAAGCCAAGTATAATCTCACCAAAGAAATGTCGCAAGTAATTAAGTGGAAATACTTTTTTTCTCCTAACGAACAGCCCAAAATCTTTACAAGTGGTGATTTAGTCTTTATTTCGGGTAAATTTGTCGTTGAAAATTCCGAACAATGCGTTACTATCACGTATGCAAGCATTATCGATAATAATCCTAATCGCGAGTTTGATACTACCAATATTCCTCTGTGCATCCCGCATTGCATGTTTCCCGTGATTGTTAATCGTAAGCCTAAAGAACTCAGAGAATTCATCCATTTCGGTGTTGAATGTACCGAATATAATTCTGTTACTGGTACTTCTAATGTAAATATGCAAATGACGGTTCTTTATCATGCGGGCTCCTTAAGATTTCAAAATTATTTGGGCCACTCAGGTTCGAATATTAAATTAGGCAATACGTATCTTGTATCGGGTCTCTTTAAATTTTCAACATCTGGAAAAATGATGATTGAGGCAACCGATATAGACTATTTGAGAACTGCAACTGTTACCTATAATGCGCGTGAAAATTATTCTTCGACGACTCCTGGTGCTCGATCAATTATTGACGTCATCGCTGATGATATTGAACCTACTCTAACTCAAGTTCCAAATGTTGTTGAATCTACGATCCCCTCGGTTAACCATAATGCTACTGCTGCTACCCCGGGTCCATCAAAAAATTTGATGGACGTTACAAATCCTTATGTCCAAATTGATTCATCCTATAAGAGAAATCAAAAACAATCGTCAGATTATGTTGACTTAGATGCTCAAGATGAAGAAGAGAAGCAATCGGATAAAGAGAAAGATACAGAATTAGACGAAGAAGAAAGTCAACCTAAGAAAAGAAAAAGAAATGTTAGAATAACCAAGAAAGAAAACAAAAAGAAAAGTAAAAAATAAATGTTATTTATTTTATATCTTTTATCGTAACTTGTAAAATATACATAGTTCGATGAAGTATTTTTTTTTAATAAATATAAGTTAGTGTCAACCTTTTGTTGAATTTATATAGGCACTTGATATTCATATATTACTGTATTATGAAAATTTTGATTATGTCATAATTTAAAGTTATTAAAATAATCTAACGTAATTATAAAATTAATGATATAGAAAAGTCTAATTTATAAAGGTTTGGGAAAATTCGTATTATAATTATGATTATGAAGCAGAACCTAATAATATAAAATCAATGGATATAACTTTAATATTAACCGGTATCATATGAGCGAATGAACCCGATCCTAAATTAAAACCAAGAGCACAGTTTTAAATAATCTATCGTTACGTAAAGATTTCTTCCATTATTATCATTTACCAATTCTTTATTTTATGTCCTTTAATATTTAGAATTGGTTTTAAGCGTGTAATTCCCACTTTTTGATCGACTTTTACACATGAGTATTGAGCCCTAATTTCCCCCGCCACTTCTGATTGGCTGTACTGATTGCTCATTTATTAGAGCCAATCAAAGGCGTTAGACTATAATTAATATTTTGGCCCCAGATTATAATTATAAGACGTTTCTTATACGAAAATTTTACAAGGAAAATTTTACGAATTTTTACTTGAAAATTTTTTTTGATTAATAATATAAATATTCTGGTAATTGAATAATTAGTACGGCCAATCAGGGGTGGTGAGATAAATTAGTAAACCCACATATGAGCAGATTTTTTGATTTTGCGATTACGTAATATTTCATAAAATTTAATCGATCGTTTATGTGATATTGTATGA